ATTTCTATGAGATGAAATTATCAAGAATTGTGAACTCCTGCATTCGGGTTCAGGAAATTGTGTTTCTGTACAGGCTGGAAGAACCCGGGTAACTGTGAGAAATATCTGGAGGATTGGCAGCCCACAGGCCCAGTGATGTGGCCACCAAAGCACTTTCTTGTGGGGGGTGGGGGAGCCTGATACACTTTCAGGCCGAGCAAGTGGGAGCTTGCTGCCCAGAACATTCTTCTACAGGTTGTCCTGTGAAGCCCTATTTGGAACATCTTCTTAGCTTGGAGCACCAAACTTTGGCAAAAAAATCTAAAAACTGCATTGTAGGGAGAATGGTCAGAGATACTGGGGCCACCATCCGGGAGGAAAGCCATCAGATAACAACTGTGTGTGCCTCTAGATGGCAGCACAAAGGACACAGTGGTTCTTAGAGGCAGGCCAGTTTCCAAGGAGAGAACTTTCTAAACACTAGAAGCTTCCAAAAATGGAATATGATGCTGCATTAATGGAAATAGATACGTTCAGCTGCAAATGACAGAAAACCCAACTCAAACTGCTCTAAGTTAAAGGGAAAAAAAAAGGGCAGAGGGGATTTATTGGCTAATAGTACTGAAAAGTCCAGGAATAGGGTCTAACTTCAGGCACAGCTGGATGCAGGGCATCAAAGGATGTCCTCAGGGCTCCCCTTGTACTCTCCACTCTGAACTCTGCTTTCCTCCATGTTGGTCTCTTCTCAGGTTCCACTCCTAAGGGCAGCAGATGGTCACCAGCAGCTCGATGCTAGGAGGAAGTCCCCAAAGAAGTCCAGATGTCAAAACCTGTTGTACTGATTTGATATTTACATGCCCATCCTGGAATCACTGTAGCCAGAGAGATGATGTATAATGATCGGCTGGGCCTACATCCCATTCTTGCTTACAATCCAGTCCCCGTGGCTGGGGGAAATTCAGGGCTCTGATTGGCTGGGCCTGGGTCCCAGGCCACTCCGGTAGTAAGGAGTGGAGTCAACCCATCTGAACCACTTGGACTGAGGGTGTGTTGGGTCTGTGAAAAGTCCCCAGCTCCCAGATCAAGAAACCAGAAATTGACAGCACCCAAAAGCCCTCATGCCCCTTTGCCCTGGGGTAACTACCCTCCCCCCAGGGTAACCCCCGCGCTATCTCTTCTTCTGCCAACGTAGACTAGTTCCTCCTGTGCCTGTTTTCTATGTAACTGGAATCTGAGCACATACTCTTTTGTGCCTGACTTCTTTCGCTCAGCTTTATGTTTGTGAGATTCATTTATATTGTGTGTATTTATAGATTGTTCATTCTCGTTGCTATATAACATTCCATTGGGAGAAAAACCACAATTTATTTTTTCATTATACTGCTGATGTGCATTTGGGAAGTTTCCAGTTTGGGGCTATTATGAATAGCGATGCTGTAGACACCCTTGGACACATCTTTTGGTGCACATGTACTTGCATTTCTGTTAGGTGTGTACCTAGGAGTGGAATTATTGGGTCAGAGGGCATATGTGTTCCTAGCTTTAGTTGATACTGCCAAACAGCTTTCGAAAGTGATTGTACCAATTTGCATCCTTGGAGCAGTTCTGAAGTCCCTAGATTAGCTGGCATCTGTGTCCCATAGGTACTGCAGAGTGATGAGTCTGGGCTTCATGGAGAGTTGGGGCTTGTTAGCAGCTGCAGCCTGGCTCCTGGGCCCATGATGATGGAAAGAGTTCCTGCTTTCTCCTGTCCCATCTCTGCCATTTGATTATGTCCTGCCCACACCATACTGAGTCTTCCTCTTTTAGGAATGAGTTTTTTATATCAAAGTATTTCCCTGCATCCCAGATGGAGGAGCGTAGTTGAAGTTTTCATTTCCATAGTGCTAAGGGGCAGGGGAGCGAGGGGTGCATTTGTCTTGGAGCCCTGTCCACCCCTTTGGCTAGAGTCCCGGGGAGCTCGTGCCTCACGTGCTCATCTCAGCCTCAGGATCGAGTGGCCAAAGGTGCCACTGACTTCCCGAGCTCGGCCAAAGCACATATAGCACTGTAAGGGGCTTCGGGAGGATTCCTGACTGTCCCCAACGTTTTGAATCAAAAAGAAGGCCTTGGCCTGACCATTCTCAGAAAGAGGAACCCAGAGTAGGATGTGGTTTTACAATTAGAGGAAGTGGATCCTAGCAGTGGTGGCAAAAGATGATGTGCGTGTCCTGCTGCTCAGAGCAGCTTCTGCGTCCAACCGAGGGTGAGGCCTGGGCCCAACTGGCAGAGCCACCAAAAGAGCGTCTCTTTCAAACTAAACATTTCCTTTCAACTATTTTTAAAAGTCATTTAAATCTAGGAGGTTGTGACCTCAGGTTAGGAAAGGTTTTTTTTAAAAATTATTTTAGGGGGCCGGCCCCGTGGCTTAGCAGTTAAGTGCGCACGCTCCGCTACCAGTGGCCCGGGTTTGGATCCCGGGCGCGTACCAATGCACCGCTTCTCTGGCCATGCTGAGGCCATGTCCCACATACAGCAACTAGAAGGATGTGCAACTATGACATACAACTATCTACTGGGGCTCTGGAGAGAAAAAGGAGGAGGATTGGCAATAGATGTTAGCTCAGAGCCGGTCTTCCTCAGCAAAAAGAGGAGGATTAGCATGGATGTTAACTCAGGGCTGATCTTCCTCACAAAAAAAAAAAAAATTATTTTATTGAGGTCACATTGGTTTATAACATTGTGTAAATTTCAGCTGTACATTATTATATTTATATTTCAGCTTCTGTATAGACTGCCTCTATGTATATCTGTATAGATATGCCTTTGGTGGTGTTCACCACCAAAAGTCTAGTTTCCATCCATCACCATACATATGTGCCCCTTTACTCCTTTTGTCTTCCCCCCACCCCCTTCTCTGGGAACCACCAATCTGTTCTCCTTATCTATGCGTTTGTTTGTTTCTCTTCCACATATGAGTGAAATCATATGGTATTTGTCTTTCTCTGACTTATTTTGCTTAGCATAATGCCCTTAAGGTCCATCCATGTTGTAGGGAAGTATTTTTCTAAAAAATAAAAGTCATAAAACATAAAGGAAAGGATTGATAAATTTGACTGTATCAACATTAAAAGCTTCTCATCAAGAAAACGCCATAAACAAAGTGAAAAGATGACTGGGACTAGATGAAGATATTTCCACCTCATTTAATCAAGAAAGGAATGGAAAACCCTACAAACCAATAAGAAAAAGACAACCCCATAAAAAAATGGGCAAAGTTTATAAGCAGGCTGTTTGCAGAAGATAAATGTTTTGTGGATCATCAGGGAAGTGCAAATTAAAACAACAAGAGAGGATTTCACACCCATCAGATTGGCAGAAATGAGTAAATTTGACAATACCAAGTGCTGACGAAGATACGGAGATTAAACACTAGGCAATGGTGGTGCCATTGCTAACAGGCCACCACTTTACTTTAGTAAAGTTCATGATGTGGTTATACTGTCATGGGTTATACCTGTGATCCGACAATTCCGCTCTTATGTACATATCCTAGACCTGCACTGTCCAGTATGGCAGCCACTAGCCATATGTAGCTCTTGAGCCCTTGAAATGTGGAGAGTGTGACTGAGGAATGGAATTTTTAAATATTTAATTTTAATTAGTTTAAATGTAAGAATTGATACTCAATTCTTAGAAAACTTTTAAGTATATTTGGAACAACTTGAGTCTGTGAACCCGCTTTTTCAGCTGTAAATTGTATGAAATCCACATACAGATGAAGTATTTCTAATGAAAATCTGGGGTCCAAATCGCAATATGCTGTAAGTGTAAAATACACACCAGATTTCAAAGACTAAATACCAAAAAAAAAAGAATGTAAAATATCTCCTTAGTAATTTTTCTGTATTGATAACATAGGGAAACGACCATATTTTGCATATATTGGGTTAAATAAAATATAGTACTAAACTTAATTTTATCTGTGTCTTTTTAGTTTTTTTTAATGTGGTTACTGGTAACTTGGAATTACACGTATGGTTCGCATTATATTTCTCTTGGACAACACTCATCCAGACTCCGACATGTACACAAGGAGATGTGTACAAGAATGTACATTCTAGCATTGCTTGTAATAACCAAAAAGAGTAGACACAAACCTTGAGGTTCATCAACAAGAGAAGGGGTAAATAAATTGTGGTTTATTTACACAGTGAAATACCACACAAGAGTCAAAATGAATGAACTAGAGCTACATGTATCAGCATGGATAAATCTAAAGACCCGACTGTTGAGTGGCAAAAGCAAGTTGCAGAAGACTCAGAATTCAGACAAAGTTTTAAAGCATGCAGAATATTAGGAATTGTTTTGTGGATACATATTAGTATAATGAAAGTATAAAAACATGCATGGAAGTTATAAACAACCAGAATCCAGGTGCTGGTAACCTGGAGTGGGAGAGATACTAGAAGACCTTTAATTGTGTCTGTAACATTTTGTTCCTTACTGGAGAGTGGGTATGACTGGGGGGTTTGGTATGACTGAGATATTTCAACAAATTGTTTGATAGCCAAAGCCATTTTTAAGCTGCGTGCTTTCTGGTTAGAAAGTTTCAAAAACTGCAGCCTTTGGTCCTTGTCAAGTCCCAGGTCGTCTGACCAGTGACCCTTCCATTTCCCGCCTTTGCCAGCTGGGGGCCATGGCGGGGCCTCCCACATGTGTATATTCCTGAGAAAAAATGATTTGGCATGGGTCTGTTGGTGTCTTGAATTTGGGCCACTGCTGTGAGGGCTGCAGACAGAGTGCTGGCTGTGATGAGGGACAGCTCAGCCAAGACGGTGGCCTGGGGCAGTAGGAGCCACAACCCACCCCAGGCAGGATGGGGCCCAGAGGGAGACAAGGTTTGGGTGTCCACGGGGCCGAGACTTCTTCCTGAGCCTCCTGCCATCAAAGGTCTTGACATCCGGTTTTCCACAGGGTCCATTCCAAGGACTCACCCAGCACACCTGAAGGGGGCTTACTTCATTTTGCTTCCTTTTCAGGACAACTGGTGTCTGAGAAGTGAAAAAGCAGGATGCCCCCTGGGGTTGATTGCCCCATGGAATTCTGGACCAAGGAAGAGAATCAGAACGTGGCCGTTGACTTCTTGCTGCCGACAGGGGTCTATCTGAACTTCCCTGTGGCTCGAAATGCCAACCTCAGCACCATCAAGAAGGTATGACCTTGACATTAAAACTAGTCCTCAGAGCCTGGAACTCAGAGAGAGAGAGACAGACAGGCTCTCGCACTCACCTGCATAGTTTCTCAGATTTGAGAGCCTCGGATACAAATTTTAAAAGATATAAATAATATCCAAGAATTGTTTAAAAACTTAGAGTTGGAGTCTACCTAGCATTCCAAATTCAGCTTCCCTCCTTTTTCAGTGCTTTATCAGCGCACATTTACCCGAAAGCTTCCGGGTGTGGTTCCAATGGTGGCGTTTCATTCTCTCCATGACTGTGCCATCATTTTTGGAACCACACCCCATCCACGGCCACTTAAGAATTTTACTGGTCTTTTGTCTTTGGAGTTGTCATCATAGTAAACATCATCTTTGAAAATAGTTTTTGTTTTGTTGAATAATTTTCAGGGTGGATTACTGAGTCAAAACATTAGACATCTGGATAGTATTTGCTAGATATTGTCTTGTCACTTTTCAAAGGGATTGTCCCACTTACAGTGTATGGGATTTAATTGGTCAGACCAGACGGCAAGACCTTAGCTCAGAATTTTAAAAGCTATGCTTGAGGCCAGAAAAAAAAGGAAAGAAGCAGTGGACCATCCTTGAGTGTTTTTTTAATCTTCCCTTCCTGGGAGATTTCTTTTAAAATTAGATTTTCTTCCATTTCAAAAGTAATATGGACACATTGAAATTTAGGAACATAAGAAAAAGTAGGAGGAAGAAATTACCTATGATCCAGCCTTGTGAGGCAACCACAGTTAACACTGGCTATTTCCTGTTTTCTTTATTATATACAGAGTTGTTTTTTGTGATTATTCTGATTATGAAATTTATCTTTTTTTCTGAGTTAACATTCTAACATCTTTTTCATGTTATTAACTTTATGTATGTTATCATTTTAAAGTTAATCTTATTTTTCTGCATACAGAGCTATACATGCACGTTATTGAAATTCAAATACTGCAGAAATGTAACACACATCGGTCTCTGCAGTCTCACTCACACTCCAATTTGATTTCAATTTCTTTACATTTTATTTAACCAGGGGACAGATAGTAAATATTCTACGCTTTGCTGGTCGTATGGGATTCATCACAACTGCTGAACTCTGCCGTCATAGGGCGAAAGCAGCCATAGACAGTGTGTAAATGAGTGGATGTGGCTGTCTTCCCATAACCTGACAAACCACTGCTTGCCAAGTCCTGGTCTATAGTAATTAATATGTTTATTATTGTGGTTTTTATGGCAATGGGCTTGAATTACATCTGCTGTTCTACAGCTTGGGTTTTTTCCCACTTAATGATGTATCTTGGAGCCCTCCATGGTGGTTCCTATAGGTATCCCTAGATTCTGGGTCACTGCTCTGTGCTATCTTTTTGGGTTGATGGACCATAGTTATCCATCTCCCATAGTAGCAGCACTGGACTGTTCCCTCCTTTTCCATCTTCTCTGTGACTCAGCGGTGATCATCTTTGTACTAAAGCTTGACTGTTGGATGGCTCCGCCAGCAATCCCTGGGGACACCTCGCCCTGAGGGCACACATTGACAGCCTTAGGTGAACACAGCCACAGAGGGTTTTGTGGCCCCCTCAGTGAGTTAAACTTTTCTCACTTAGTTGCCAACATTTAAAAATCAGGCTGATGAACCCCAGAATGATTAGCTGGGGGTGCCTGGAGGTCACTTCCAGCGGACCATAACCTACAGGGGAGACTGTAGGACGAGCTGCTCTGTTCCAGATTTTAGCGCGTACCTGGCACCCTTCACAGAAGGGCAGTGACAGAGACTCCTGGTGACCCACGTGGCCAGGGCTCAGGGGATCTGGAGAGGGTAGTGGTCTTGGGATCTTGTCTTTGCCCTCTTCTCAGGGTCGTGCAGGGTGGGACACCCAGACTGAGGCCAACCTCCACCTGCCCTCAGCCTCCCAGCTCCCTGTGGCCCTGCCTGCCTTGGCCGAAGGGGCTGACTGGTGACTATCCCTCCAGGTGTTGTGGCACCGAGCCCAGTATGAGCCGCTCTTCCACATGCTCAGTGACCCCGAGGCCTACGTGTTCACCTGTGTCAACCAGACCGCAGAGCAGCAGGAGCTGGAGGACGAGCAGCGGCGGCTGTGTGACATCCAGCCCTTCCTCCCGGTCCTGCGCCTGGTGGCCCGCGAGGGCGACAGGGTGAAGAAGCTCATCAACTCACAGATCAGCCTCCTCATCGGCAAAGGTACCCCTGCTGGGGTACCTTTTGTCATCCAGGCCCCCCCCGCTCTCCACTGCCTCCCCCTGCTGTCTCCCACCCCTGCCCTCCACGCTGACCGGCTGACCGGCTCCTCCCTGCCTCTCAGGCCTCTGACCGGCTCCTCCCTGCCTCTCAGGCCTCTGACCGGCTCCTCCCTGCCTCTCAGGCCTCTGACCGGCTCCTCCCTGCCTCTCAGGCCTCCACGAGTTTGACTCCTTGCGCGACCCAGAAGTGAATGACTTTCGCTCCAAGATGCGCCAGTTCTGTGAGGAGGCAGCCGCCTGCCGGCAGCAGCTGAGCTGGGAGGCCTGGCTACAATACAGCTTTCCCCTGCAGCTGGAGCCCTCAGCGGGGAGCTGGGGGGCCGGCACCCTACGGGTCCCCAACCGGGGCCTCCTGGTCAATGTCAAGTTCGAGGGCAGTGAGGTGAGCCCTTGGCTCCTGCCGGCCAGCTTGCTGCATCCGTGTGCATGGGGGATGCTTCATCTGTGGGACTCCTCAGTCATCCACCAACCCCCACATTCACCCTCCTCCCAGCAGCATCAGATGGTATTTGTGGGGTGTCCGTGCATGTGAGGGGCTCAGCTGAACGTCCCACCAGGCAAGTTTGACAAGGCAGAATGACTCAGTGGCCTTGGTCATTGGTCCATTCATTCATTCAGCAAATATTTCCTGGGCGTCAGCCAAGTGCCTTCATCAGACCTTGCCTTCATGGAGCTCACATTTGAGGGGCGGGGGGGGCCTAATACAGGCAAATAGGCAACCCCACTCCCTGCACCTCAGAACCCCATGGGCCCTCCACAAAGGTGAGGGCTGACCCTCCCCCCTCCCCCTAGGAGAGCTTCACCTTCCAGGTGTCCACCAAGGAGGTGCCCCTAGCACTGATGGCCTACGCCCTCCGGAAGAAGGCCACGGTGTTCCGGCAGCCCCTGGTGGAGCAGCCTGAGGACTACACGCTGCAGGTGAACGGGAAGCTCGAGTACCTGTATGGCAGCTACCCCCTCTGCCAGTTCCAGGTGAGGGGAGAGGCTGGGAGGGGCCCTGCGCTCCTGGGTTCCCTGCAGCTCTGGGCTGGGGCTTGGGCTGAGGAGAGCTGGTCATTGGCCCCTCTTGAGCCTGATGAATCAGGCATTGAGGGGTCATGGCGGGAGTCCTCCTTGCTGGGCTGGCCCTCCCCGTGAGCACAAGGAGGGCTCCATTTTCAGGAGGTGGGTCAGGGCCGGAAGAGCCAGCAGGAGAGGACCCCCAAAGGCCTGGGATAGCCAGTGGTCAGCATGGGGGAGTCCCTGGGTAGCCAGTTGTCCCAGGAATGGTTGGGGCCACCCTGTCTGCCTCTCACTCTGCCCCCCATCTCAGTATATCTGCAGCTGCCTGCACAGTGGGCTGACCCCTCATCTGACCATGGTGCACCACTCCTCCATCCTCGCCATGCGAGACGAACAGAGCAACCCTGCCCCCCAAGTCCAAAAACCACGCACCAAGCCGCCCCCCATTCCCATGAAGAAGGTGAGCCGGCACCCTCCGCTTACCCTCCCCTCCATCCCTTCCTCCCACCTGTTGTCCAGCCTAGAGCCTATTGAGCAGCCCCCCAGCTGGGTGAGGGTCCAGGAGCCCCTGGTCTCATGCCCCTTGGCTGGTCTGTGTTGAGAGCTGGGGCTTTGAGCTTGGGCGGCCAACACGACTGACATCCTGGGGTGGGGGGTCCTGCCCGAACTTCCCGGGGGCCGCCTCCAGGCCTGGCTCTCGGCTGTCTTCTCCTCACGCTCTTCCTGCTCCTGCACTGTGGGCAGATCTCCGTGCCCTGCAGAGCTCAGGGGCATTGGGGCCGCCGGGGGCACCTGCACGGCAGGTCTAAGGATGGTGTCGTGGGCAGGTCCCTGAGCCTTGCCACAAATCTGCAGCATTGCTCCCCTCCCCCCCACAAGTGGCCATGGGCCTTGTCAGCAGCCAGGCTGCAACCTCCCCGCCCCAAGCCTCGGTTCCTCTGCTTTACCGCCCTGCTTCTCCCCTCCGCCCTCCTCAGCCCTCCTCTGTGTCCCTGTGGTCCCTGGAGCAGCCCTTCTACATCCAGCTGATCCAGGGCAGCAAAGTGAATGCCGACGAGCGGATGAAGGTAGGGGGCTTCTGGGACGGAGCGGGGGGAGGTATGTTTTTTGCACAAGCAAGGTGGCTGTGTCCTGGACGGGCGGCAGAGGAAGAACGGGGGTCACACGAAAGCCACCTGACCACATTACCCAGCATCCCTGCCTGGGGTGGTTGTGAGCCGCTTCAAAACAGGAAGGGGGGAGGGGAGCAGGCTGGCTGGCCAGAGAGGCTGATTCGTGGAAACAGGGCCCAGCGAGTTCTGGGTATTTGACTTTGGTGGAGGTTGTGGGGCTAGGCCCAGCCCAGGGATGTGGGAACCACAAAGTCTGGGAGGTGACAGGCGCGGAAGAGGAGGCGCTCCAGCAGGGCCAGGGACCTTGGGGCTCCCAGGGTGCCTGTGGGAGGTGTGTGCAGCAGGTGGCTCACCCCAGGGGGCCAAGCCCACTTCTGGGCTGTTCACACACCCCATCTCCGTCCTTAGGACAGCTGGCAAAGTGCAGGTTTTATTGTCCCATTTGCAGGACGTGCAACCTGGGTCCGCAGAGGCTGGGTCTCTTTGGGGAGCACTTTTTGTTGGGGTAATTTCAGAAGCAGAGCAGGCCTCCCCTGGCAGAATCATGGAGGATTGGAGCTGGGGGCTGGCGATTGGCCGGGGCAGCTTTCTGGCTGGGCGATGCGGGCCGTCACGGTGGAGCTGGTGGAGGCAGGGCAGGGGTGTGCAGGGGCAGTAAATCCTGCCCTGCCCACAGCGGGCTCATCCAATTCTGAGCAGTGGAGGGAACCCTTGGGTGTTTGAGTTAGAAGGTCCCCTGGAGTTCCCAAGCCCCGAGGGGGAAACTGAGGCCCAGAGCAGGGAAGCAACATGCCCTGGGGTCCCCCAGGGTCCTTGGGGAGCTGAGAGTGGCTGCCCATGCACAGCCATCCCTCTTTTGCACTGCCTTCTTCCACGTGGGAAGTGGGATTTAGACCCATGTGAAGTGAGGACCTTTCAGGAGGAGGAGATTTGAGCCTTAGGTGGGTGGGAGACCCTGGGAGGAGAGAGGGAGGCTGAGCCTCTGCCACCTGTCACCCCGCACCCACACCTTCCCCAGCTGGTGGTACAGGCTGGGCTTTTCCATGGCAACGAGACACTGTGCAAGACGGTGTCCAGCTCGGAGGTGAGCGTGTGCTCGGAGCCTGTGTGGAAGCAGCGGCTGGAGTTTGACATCAACGTCTGCGACCTGCCACGCATGGCCCGTCTCTGCTTTGCACTTTACGCCGTGATTGAGAAGGCCAAGAAGGCTCGCTCCACCAAGAAGAAGTCAAAGAAGGCGGTGTGTGGGGCGGCCGGGAGGCTGGGGCCGGGCCTCAGAGAGCCAGGGCACTCCAGTCCTGCAGCCCGGGGGCCACCCCCATCTCGCTCCCAGCAGGCACACAGCCTGAGGATGGGGTCCTGGGAGGGCCTGCAGCCCCTGGCCTCCCCACCCATCCCATACTGGCCACTGCCCCTGCCCTGTGACGCCTCTGGCTTCCTGGGCTCATGAGCAGGGTGACTCAGAATATCTGGACCTGGGCCTTTGGTCCTTGCAGGAACATGGAGGCAGCTCCCTGGGGTGGAAGGACAAATGTACTGTCCTCACAGGGGCACAGTCCTCATGGCTCCTGAATCAGCAGCTGGCCGGGGAGGAGTGGTGTTTGGGTACTGAGTCACCAGGCCCAGGATGTGACTGGCCACTGAGCCACGCTGACTCGCCTATAGCTGAGCCGGGCCAGCTTTCCAGGACTGATGTGGTTTGCTTGGGGGTTTCTCAAGAAGCCGGGAATGGGAGGCTGGCCCCGTGGCTTAGTGGTTAAGTGCGCGCGCTCCGCTGCTGGCGGCCCGGGTTCGGATCCCGGGCGCGCACTGCTGCACCGCTTCTCCGGCCATGCTGGGGCCACGTCCCACATACAGCAGCTGGAAGAATGTGCAGCTGTGACATACAACTATCTGCTGGGGCTTTGGGGGGAAAAAAATAAATAAAATTATAAAAAAAAAGAAGCTGGGAATGGGGATGTAGCCTAGAGTAGTAGGGAGCCAAGAGGTGGCTTCCTCACAGGGAGTCTGGGTGAGGGCAGGGAAGCATGGCCTGGAGGCTGGGCCCATCCTGCAGATGAGCAAATGAAGGCTCTTTGGCAGCTGGCCCTGACCTGCCCGTGTTCTTCCCAGGACTGCCCCATCGCCTGGGCCAACCTCATGCTGTTTGACTACAAGGACCAGCTCAAGACTGGGGAATGCTGCCTCTACATGTGGCCCTCCGTCCCAGGTCGGCCCAGGCCAGGGGAGAGAGGCGCGGGGCAGAGGGGTCCCAGACATGGTGGCATTCCCCGTGCAACTCCATCTGTCCCTGTGTCCAGACGAGAAAGGGGAGCTGCTGAACCCCACAGGAACCGTGCGCAGTAATCCCAACACTGAGAGCGCCGCCACCCTGGTCATCTGCCTCCCCGAGGTGGCCCCCCACCCTGTGTACTACCCTGCCCTGGACAAGGTCAGTGAGGGGCCTCCTTGCCACCTGGGGTCCAGGCCCACCCTGCCCGGAGGCTGTGGGGCTAAAGATGAACTTTCCTGACTCTGTCTCTGGGCTCCCCAGAGCATGGTCCTCACACCCCGTGAGTTGCCCAGGGCTGAGGGCTGGGTTGCCACACACATTTGGGAGCGTCCTTAACTCTCTGGAATCCTCATGTGCCCTAGAGCAGTGGTTCTCAACCAGGGACCACTTTATCCCCAGGGGACTTTGGGCAATGTACAAAGACATATTTGGTTGTCACAAATAGTGGGAGAGATGCTCCTGGCATCTTGTGGGTGGGGTGCTGCTAAATGCCCTACAGTGCACAGGACAGTCCCCACCCTGAGAGTCATTGGCCCTCAAGCTCAGTAGTGCTGAGGTGTTGACACCCACCCTGGGGCCCTGCCAGGGCTGGCCCAGGCCCTGGGGGCGCCGTTGAGAGCAGGGCCTCTCTCTTTACAGATCCTGGAGCTGGGGCGGCCCGGGGAGCATGGGCGCTTCACCGAGGAGGAGGTGAGCTGGGGGCCGGGGCCGTGGGCGGTGCGGCGAGGAGCCGGGCCGCAGCCCTCACCCTGTCCTGTGCCCCTCAGCAGCTGCAGCTGCGGGAGATCCTGGAGCGGCGGGGGTCTGGGGAGCTGTACGAGCACGAGAAGGACCTGGTGTGGAAGATGCGGCACGAGGTCCAGGAGCACTTCCCCGAGGCGCTGGCCCGGCTGCTGCTGGTCACCAAGTGGAACAAGCATGAGGACGTGGCCCAGGTGGGCGGCAGGGCAGGGGCCCCGGGGGAGGGGCAGAGCCTGGAGTCAGATGCAGCCTGCGCCCGCCCACGCCCTGACCACCCGCACTCCTCAGATGCTCTACCTGCTGTGCTCCTGGCCCGAGCTGCCCGTGCTCAGCGCCCTGGAGCTGCTGGACTTCAGCTTCCCTGACCGCCACGTGGGCTCCTTCGCCATCAAGTCCCTGCGGAAACTGACGTGAGTCCCACGGGCTCCCTGCTCCTTGGAAGGGCGGCTTTGCCCCGACTGTCTGGAAGCGGGCACCAAGTGGGGACTGAACCTTCCCTGGGGACCTGCTCAGGTGGGGCCGGCCTCTGGCTCCTGCCCTGCCCTCTCACCAGCTGCAGACCCCCGTCCCTGGCCGTGAAGCTCCGGGCCCCAGCCGGCCTCCCTTCCCTGCAGGGACGATGAGCTTTTCCAGTACCTGCTGCAGCTGGTGCAGGTGCTCAAGTACGAGTCCTACCTCGACTGCGAGCTGACCAAATTCCTGCTGGACCGGGCCCTGGCCAACCGCAAGATCGGCCACTTCCTCTTCTGGCACCTCCGGTAGCTGGACTTCCCGGGCCCCTGCGTCTCCCTGGAAGGCCATGGGGAGGAGGGGCCTCCTCTGCTGGCCTCACATTTCCCGCCGGCCTGGGTGTCCTGGCCGGGCTGGGAGGCGCCGTGTGGCCCTGCCAGGTGACGCTCAGCCCCTCTTCCCCCCTCCAGGTCTGAGATGCACGTGCCGTCGGTGGCCCTGCGCTTCGGCCTCATCATGGAGGCCTACTGCCGGGGCAGCACCCACCACATGAAGGTGCTGATGAAGCAGGTGAGGCCCCGCCCACACCCCTGCCCAGGGCGGGCTCCGCTTGCCAGCAGGGTTGGCCGGGCCCTTTAGAATCACCTGGGCTGAGCTGAGGCTCAGAGCCTGTCCCTCCAAGCCTGCCCACGCTGCCCTCCCGTTCTCCCGGCCAGGGGGAAGCACTGAGCAAGCTGAAGGCCCTGAACGACTTTGTCAAAGTGAGCTCCCAGAAGGCCACCAAGCCCCACACCAAGGAGCTGATGCACCTGTGCATGCGCCAGGAGACCTACCTGGAGGCGCTCTCTCACCTGCAGTCCCCGCTCGACCCCAGCACCCTGCTGGCTGAAGTCTGGTGAGCCCTGAGCCCCCGCGAGGGCCTCCTCTCGCCACCCCTCTCCCCGAAGGCCCCGTGCAGGGGTCCTGCTGACCGCTCTCTGGCCCGGCAGTGTGGAGCAGTGCACCTTCATGGACTCCAAGATGAAGCCCCTGTGGGTCATGTACAGCAACGAGGAGGCGGGCAGCCATGGCAGTGTGGGCATCATCTTTAAGAACGGGGATGGTGAGCAGGCGGGCCCCCGGTGGGGAGGCATCTGCTGAGGCCTTGGCCTTCCCACATCGTGCCCGTACTGCCCTCGGGGGACCCTGGGGGCCGACTCCTGGAGGGCAAGCCAAGGAGAAGTCCCGGGACTTTGGGGCCTGGGCATGGCTGGGAGTGGAGAATCCACTAGAAACTCAGGCTTTTGCTTCCGGGGGCCGCTGCACAGACCTCCGCCAGGACATGCTGACTCTGCAGATGATCCAGCTCATGGACGTTCTGTGGAAGCAGGAGGGGTTGGACCTGAGGTGAGGGTCCCTCCTGTCATCCATTTGTGCCTGCCTCAGGTCTAGGACTCTGTCCCTTTGGAGGGGTCCCCTCCACGCCAACATTACCACCTCAGGAAAAACGGCTCCTCCAAGAAGAGCAGGGACCAGTTTAGGGCCGAGGGAGGCAACAGAGCCACAGGAGGGTGGAGCAGGCCAGGCCTGGCGCTAGCGTCTGTCTTACTCCATTTTTCCTTTGCCCCAAGTATCCTTGGCTTCCTGCCCCATCTTGGGAAGTAGTGACATCTTTTTCGAAGCCATGTGGATTTTTCTCTCTGAGCAAATGTGAGCTCAGCTGAAGTGCTGACTTTTCCTCTATATCTGGGGTGCTCATTCTGACCTCTCCAAGGAGCCTTCCCCCAGGGCCCCAGGGGTCAAAGGCTCCTCCTCAGCACCTTTCTCCTCCTTTTCAGCAACTTGAGTAGCATCTCCTGTGACTATTTTTGGTGTCTTGAGCTCCTCAGGGGTCAGGCAGCCCCAGGGACAGCCCTTGACCGTGGCATTTCTCTGCCCCTTCCCCCACCTGGCTAGGATGACCCCCTATGGCTGCCTCTCCACTGGGGACCGCACAGGCCTCATTGAGGTGGTGCTTCACTCGGACACCATTGCCAACATCCAGCTGAACAAGAGCAACATGGCAGCCACGGCCGCCTTCAACAAGGATGCCCTGCTCAACTGGCTCAAGTCCAAGAACCCTGGGTAGGTTTAGGGCTCCAGGGACAGAGGCCTTCTTTCCAAGAGGTGTGGTTTGGGAGTCAAAAGTGAGAGGAAGGGCCTGGGACAGTCTCCATGGCTTCTTGGCCCAGCTGAGGACCAGCCGTGTCTGTGTCAGGGGGGTTGGGTCTCCATTCCCCAATGTATCAGTCATCTGTTGCCGGGAACAACCACCCTGAACTCAGGAACATAAAACAACCTCCGTTTGTTATTGACTCACAAGTCTGCAGCTCGAGCTGGCTCAGCTCAGTGGTTCTGCTGTCATCACTCGTGTGACGGCTGTCATCTGGTGGCTTGACTGGGTGTGGAGGGTTGCATGTCTGGGGCCTCAGCGCTGGCTGTCAGCCGTGTGGCCTCTCATTCTAGCCTCAGCTGCCTTCTGTGGCAGTAGGGAAGGTTCAGGAGCTGTAAAGTGTCTTAAGGCCTAGGCTCTGGGATGAGCCCAGCATCGCTTCCTCCATGTTCCGTTGGTCCAGGCAGGTCACAAGGCCACATTCAAGGGGATGGAACCCCACCTCTTGGTAGAAGAAGCTGCAAAATAGTGTGGCCATGGTTTCCAATCTCCCCTCCTCCCCTCACCCAGGGAGGCCCTGGATCGAGCCATTGAGGAGTTCACACTCTCCTGCGCTGGCTACTGTGTGGCCACGTACGTGCTGGGCATCGGCGATCGGCACAGCGACAACATCATGATCCGCGAGAACGGACAGGTAGGAGCAGCGTGGGGGCTGCCATGCGGGCAGCACCTATCTTCTGGCCCTGCCCGGGCCTGTCTGCTCTGCACATGGCTCCCAGGCAGAGCCCCCTCCAAGCCCTTCCGGGTCCCTCTGTCTCCGCAGCGTCCTGTGGACCAAGGCACACTCCTTTCTGACTCCTTTTCAGTCTCTGCCCTTCCCTCCCCTTAGCTGTTCCACATTGATTTTGGCCACTTTCTGGGGAATTTCAAGACCAAGTTTGGAATCAACCGTGAGCGCGTCCCATTCATCCTCACCTATGACTTTGTCCACGTGATCCAGCAGGGGAAGACTAATAATAGTGAGAAATTCGAAAGGTGAGGGCGCCTCAGACCCCCTAGCTGCCCTTCGGTGCCTGGGCCCCAGGCAAAGTGCAGGGACAGGGACCAGCTCTCAGCCCACCCCTGGAAGGGGGCAGTGTGGGGAAAAGGCTCCTGGGTCCTGCAGGAGGAGGCCGGCTGGGACTTGGGGGGGCAGGCAATTAGAGAAAGTAGGGGCTTTGTGTGTACGGCTGTTTCCAGGGCAAGGGCAGGCTGGCCTGCGGGCCCCTGGCTTGGGGTGACAGGGTGAGGGAGTGGCTGAGGACCCAGAGCCCCACCCCGGCCCCCCACAGGTTTCGGAGCTACTGTGAGAGGGCCTACACCATCCTGCGGCGCCACGGGCTGCTGTTCCTCCACCTCTTCGCCCTGATGCGGGCGGCCGGCCTGCCTGAGCTCAGCTGCTCTAAAGACATCCAGTATCTCAAGGTAAACGCCAGGGCTGGGCTGCCGGGCAGCGCAGGGAGCCTGGCCTCCCAAGGCCTGCCTCCGAGCAGTACGCCCTAGGGGGCCTGAGTGTGTGGACCCCACAGGGCACTCCCGACTCCCGTCCTCATGCCCGCCGGGACCCAGCAATGGGGTCGTGTGGGGACCGAGCAGTGGGGTCATGTGGGAAGTGGCCAGAGTTGGCCCCAGTTCTGCTGCGGGTGGGCTGGGACCTCCCTTGTCCACCGGCCTGTCCTCTATAGGCTGCACATGTTTCTACTTGTACAACAAGCAGGCTGGATTAGATATGGTGCCCTCTACGCTTTAAAAAATGCTTTTCCTTCCTGTGTCTTCAGTGTGTATGACTCTGGGGCAGGGAGAGGGTGTGGTCGGGCCACAAGCCCCAGCCAGGTATTCTTTTGGGTGCCCAGTTCCTGCAGAATGAGGCTGCTCCCTCCCTCCCTTCTCCTGGAGTGAGTTAGTTTCCGGTGGAGAAGGCAAGGCCACCCGTCCACCTGTGGGGCTTTGGGGCCCAGACCTCCTGGCACGAGTTGGCATCTTAGTTTGTGGGTGGTCAGGGGGCCTGTCTTGGCTTGGGATCAGAATAAAGAGCTTTTCCCAAGGGAGATGTTGCGTGGCTCCCTCCACGCAGTTCTTTTAGGAGGGAATTTAAAATGCCCAGAGAGGGCGGAACTACACGGAGGCAGGAGGGGCTGCCTTACTGAGCAGGGACCAGGCCCGCTGTGTTGATGCTCACTCTGATGATTTTGTCTCAGGACTCTCTGGCCTTGGGAAAAACGGAGGAGGAGGCTCTGAAGCACTTCCGAGTGAAGTTTAACGAAGCCCTCCGGGAGAGCTGGAAGACCAAAGTGAACTGGCTGGCCCACAATGTGTCCAAAGATAACAGGCAATAGCAGCCCCTCCCTCCCTGCGGCACACCAGCCCCTCAAGCCCTGGGCCTGGAGACGAGCAACCCATCCGTCTTGGGAACCAGGCACCCTCAGCTGTCCTTCGGGGCCTAAAAGCCTGAACTGCACCCCATGGGAAAGAACCTACACAGCTGCCTTTTGTTTACACTTGTTATTTATTTATGACTTGAAATGTTTCAGGAACTTAACAGCCATAAACAGAAATGCATCCTTTGTGCAGGGGGCGGTGCTGTCCTCCAGCGTCCCCAATCAGAGCCCTGGGCTTTGATGAGAAGACACTGTGAGGTGGGCACCTCAAGGCTGCATCTTGCTGAGGATTGTAACCCCAAGTCTTCCAGCTGGCAAATCTGGACCCAGCAAAGAATCTTTTCCCCACTGGGGAGCCTGCCTTCTTCCCAGGCTGTGCGGGTCTGGTCGCCTGGCAGCTACCTGGTGCCTGCCGTGCAGACAGGGCACCCAAACCTCCTCCGTTCACCCCTCCTTCGTGCTCTCCATTGACTGAGCTCCAGGCAGCTCCCAGAGGAAGCCTGGGTACTCTCTAGATTCAGGGATGCTTGCTTCCCACTTTTAGTGACTCTTGGGTACAGAATTCTCTCATCTCTCTGCTGTAAAGCGATTTTGTTTGCGGGTAAGAAAAAAAGTAACCAAACTACGTACTGAACCTCTGTGGCTCGGGAGAACGGCCCGGGCCCCCGTGAAGTAGGATATATGCTGGTCGGTCCTCAAGACACATTACAAACATTTGAGCTTGATTTAGCTCATCCTGGTCATGGATCAAAGTGAAGGCAGGTCAGAGTACTTCGTGCAATTATCTGTAACCTGCCTCTCAAAGCAGGTTTTAAGTAAGGAGGACCTGATCTCCTCTTCCAGAAGTCTCTGAGAACCTGTGAATAATCAGGTACCAGAGTGTGAGAGTTAGGGGTATGGTAGAATCTTTTTCTCTGATGGTACTTAGCTTGAAACGGTTCAGACTTAACTTTAGGTGGATCTGAGGAGCTCTAGAAATGCAGGTTCCTGGGCCTCTCCCAGCCTTCTGAAGCCAACTCTGGAAATGGGGCTAGGAGTCTGGGCTTGCAGGAGCCCAGAGGTGATCCTGATGGATTAGCAGCCAACCTGGACCTGCCGGGCTACATGGCTGATCCCTCAGAGGCCCTACAAGGCTCAGCAGAGCCAGAAGTAGCTGCCCTCTCAACAGCCAGGTGCCAACTGTTTTTTGGTTAGAGGCAGCCGAGCAGGCGCAGTCTATAAGCAATCAGTGCCACCCACAAAGCACCACTGACCACACTCTTTTTCCCAACTAAGTGCTGAATTCATGAGCCCCACCTGGCCTGTGTGGAAATAGGAAAAGCCAAGTGTATGTCTATGTTGTATGTTATTTATTTAAACAAGTCTGTGTGCTTCCTGATGTGGGCAGCACACTTGGCACATACACAGATTTCGGGTCTAGGTGCACGGCCTGTGTGCCTGGCCAGAATATTTTCTTTTTTCTAAAATCATGTAATGTTTCTGTATGGGGAAGGCGAGTTCAACATAACCTGATGTAGGTTGAGACCAGCACTCTGTGAAACCTTGAAATGAGAGGTAAAAGCCGATTAAAAGAAAGAAAAGCCTTTTTATGTTATGTTCTTAGCTCAAAAAGAAAGAGAATGCAAGATTAAAACAAAGACCAGACAGAAAACAGCACTCTCCTGGTGGAGTTAGAACGGGAACTTTATTGTAGTGTTGACACTTTCTGACCTATCATCAATATACACACCCGAAAGTGAGGCCACAGCAGCTCCAGACAGCGCTAGGTCTCGGCTCTGCGTCAGCATCTATCCATCATCTAACAGAGCAGCTACAGTGACGGTACATGGAAGGATGGCCACACACGACACAGGACAGCCGGCAGTGTCCTCAAAACTAGCAGTTATGATCACAGAACAGTATTCAAAATTATTTCCCCCCATTTTAGAAATCTAAAATTTTACATGTACATTAAAAACAAAGTGCTCTAGAGGTGTCAGCTCATGACTGTTGCTCTCGCCTTGTCCTTCACCACCGCACAGAGTAGCAGGGCTGCCTGCTCCTGGGGAGTGGTTTTCACCAGGGGCTCTGGGGAGGAGAGAGGAGCACACGGGCTGTTCAGGGGAAAATCTAGCACTTTGCCTTCAGGCCACTCGGTGTCCTTCCAGGGAATCTGTTCCTCAGATGTTCAGAGTACAGATCACTCAGGCCTATTGCATCCCCAAACCAAGGGGTCAGGCGGCTTGCACCATCTCTATAATGGATACGTACTCCCAGCAGCAAGGAAACATATGTCTGTTAAGTAGGAACCCCAAGGCTGTTCGCGATGAGTCCAGGTTCCCGCAAGAAGTGCTGCCGGCCATCGGAGGAGAGTGCAAAAGAAGCCGGGACCCCAGCCCTCTGCCAAATTAGAAATGGGCAGAATCCCAAAGAAAACACCTGGCCATTTCCAGCCTCCAAAGAGGGGTCCCTGATCCGGTCGTGTTGCCCCCCCTCCAACCCCCGCTGAGCAGCGCACCAAAGTCCGTGCCCCCTGACAGCCCTGGCTACACACCGAGACCTGAGACCTGAGGCTGGAGTGTACCGGTTGCCTGCGTGGGGCAGGCCCCTTTCTCCTTGTCTCAGGTGGAGGGGCAGCAGGAGCCCGTGGGGTCTCTCCTGTGCTCAGTGTTCGCACCTCACTTCGCATTCCAGTCCTGGATTACACTAGCACAGAGGACACGAGGAATCCCGATTTATTTACAAAATATTAAAAAGTCAGTTCATCATCTACATATTAATCCCCACTCTGCCACTTTATACATGCACTAGTTTGGAAAAAATAAAAACTTTAAAAAAAAAAAGAAAAAAAGGATTACTCTAGGTAGGAGTGAGCAATTTTAACCCTTTGTCAACGAGTCCAGTCATTGCAGCTTTTCTGGAGGTGCGAGGGGGCCACGCAGAGCGAGATGACATAACTTAAGAGAGATCCGGGCGGGGGGCGAGGGGGAGCCTACAGTCCTACACACCAAGCACGGGCAGAAGATCGGTGATGGGGAGGGTCTGCAGACCTACTGGCCAGAATGACTTTGTACATCGTGGACCCTTGGGACTGGTACGACAGATGACAGCAGAGTCTTCTGAAGCAGAAAAAGCGGTGACGGAGGGAGGGCGGCGGCTCAGTAGCTGAGGGTGGAGTCATCCCACTCCAGCTGCTGCTGCCTGTTCACGTTCTGCTGGTCCCCGTGCTCCCCGCCCTCCTCCTCCTCGCTGCTCTCCGACTCGGCGCTGGTGATGTCATCCTCCTCCTCCCCATCCTCGCTCTCTTCCTCCTCCTCCTCCTCTTCCTCCTCACTGCTGTGCTGGTCCTCATATGTCTGACAAAGAGACGGCCGCCTGAGTCCAGCCCCCGGCCCTGCTCACAACCCAACCAGAGCTGCAGAGGAAGGGACTCCCCATGTCACACGCCACAGCGAGGGAAGGGCTGGACCACGCTGGAAGTCGCCTCATCAAAGACAAAAGGGTCACACGCACAGGGTCTGTGCCCTGGGAAGAGCACATGTCTACACTTACTGGGTGGCATGACCATGAATAGGGCCTCTCAGCCTCAGTTTACCTACCTGACCTCAGGGGACACCTGCACCTCACAGAGTCGTCGTGCGGATCACACAACATAAAGCACACAAGTTGCTTCTCTGTGGTGGGCCCAGCTTTGGCCCTGGCCTGCAGGGGTTCTCAGCTGGGGGGTCACCCGTCCACGCCTACCTCCATGGGGTTTACGGTGATGGTCAAGGCTGAGTCATCCCAATCCATCTCATTCTCCTTCCCGGTGTCCTGGTCCCGCATGGTTCGCTGATGTGCAGCCCGGATCCGGAACACTCCCAGGATAATCATGAAAACCAAGAAGCTGACACACACCACAATCACCACGGTTGCGGTGCTGGGGACAGCTGCAATGAGATTGGGAGACATCATTAACCCAGAAGGTCATTGTGCCCTCGACTTCCTCCACGACATACACTGAATGTGTCACCTGATGCCAGAGAACAGGGAGAAACATTAGAAAAGCCTCAGCACAAGTTTCAAGTCCGGGTCTATCTTGTGTGCCCTGTTGCCATGGCTGTGCAAGTCTGCCCTGTTTGTGCGTTAGTTTCCGCGTGTCTGCCGTGGGAGAACAGGCAGGCTGGCCAGGGGCTGGGCTCCTGGCAGGAGGGGGAAGGGCGTCTACCCAGACCCTGCTCGGGGGTCTCAGGCTTTTCCCCAGAGCCCTACCTGCGAATGGGTGGGGGTTGGCCAGGTTATGACCCGAGAGGTCAACGAAGGAGCGATGCTCAGGGTGAAGGAACTGCGGCTGGGCAGCCATATGGTTGGCATATTCCACGGGGTTGGCCGTGTGGATTACGTTCACCTGCAGCAGAGAGACAGAAAGGCAGCCTGAATGTGCCCGAGAAATGGAAATGCAGCTCAGATGCTAACCCAGCCAGCGCCACCCGAAGTGGGCTCTGGACCCGGGCTGGTGAGCGGATGAGAAAAGGACAAAAGAGAATCAAGGGTGAGAACTCAAACCGTTGTAACAACTGACACTGTCACACATCCAAGAAATAGAGCGCTATTCTAGAACTCATTTTTATTGTATTTTATAGAAGAATCTGTCCACAACAGACTGGAAAAAAACCAAACACCCCCACTGGTCCTTCACCACCAGTTGTTTGAGAAGCATGGCACAGACCATCTCCCTTTTTCCCAAAAACCACAGTCCCATGAAAGAGCACAAATCATAACCGTTTAATTCCTTTCAAATCCATCCCTTCGGCTCAAAGAAAACACTCATCGATTCCTTGGCACTATGGGTTCAGCGTCATGCAGCTGGGAACTCACAGTGTAAATGTTCAACTGCTGAGAATAACTCTGGGTCCATTTCTCCAGACCACAGAAGCCCTGGGTGATACGGGAGCTGCCGCCTAGGTCTGCTGAAGACCTCAGAGCAGGACGAGTGCCCTCTGACCACTGTGAGGCCCCTGCTCAGCACCCCTCACCCTAGGCCAAGGATTTATTCACAGCCGGGCCAGCCATCTACAACTACAAAGAACTTGCGTTCCCTTGAGCCGCTCTTCCTAAAGCAGTGTCAAGTCTGTAGAAACAGCCTCGTCCCCAACCCCAAGGCCTTAACCGCCACTTGCTCTTGATCACCTCCCTCCAAACGTCCCTCAGGCTCCGACTTGTAACTCTTGGGCTGAGGCAGCTTGTGAAAGGGGAGCATCATCTGTACCCCAGCCCGCCCATGTGTATGTAACCTGTCACCCCAAACCTGTGCAGTTCTGACCTGCAGCAGATCCCAGGCTGGAAAAGGCTACCACTCGTGGGACAGACCCAAATAGTTGCCACCACGAATGCTCTCAGCATCTGCGTTTGCAAATATTAGGGTTATGAGCAGGGCACTCAATTGCTGCGCTGCTGGCCCTTCTCAGGGAGCCCGGCACTCACCTCCACCTGGAATTCATTGCTGATGTAGCGGCCATTCAGCTCAGAGCAGACGAGCTTGAACTTGCGGTCAAGCAAGGACCTGGTGTGCCAGTTCCGATAACGCAGGAGGTGCAGAACCTCCTCGTAGCTGGCCATGGTGTCCACGCCTGCGGGGGCGAAGGTGAGAAGATTGCCAGGTAGCTGAAGTTAGGAGCATGCGCAGAGCCGGGGCCATGGGCAAAGGCAGGCTGGAGTCAGGCACCTGGATCAGCTGAGCCAACTGGTCACCCGTTTTGGCTTTCCAATTGTGGGAATGAACTGTGCAAGTGTGCAGGGGCACGTTTTCCCTCTCGAGGGGGATGTGTCATCATGAGCCTAACTTCTCTCCCCTTATAAGGACAGGCTATAAGGCAGTGCCTGCACTTCCCCTTCCTCTCCTCTGGGGGAATGTATGCAGCCCACACAGATCCTGGTTTCCCATCTCCTCTAGGATACTCTAAGTTCTGAGATGGAAGGAGGCAGGGGGCTAAGAGTGTCCAGCTTTCGCTCTCCCAGTCTGGCCTGCTCCAGCCTCTCGGCCTGCTGCACTTCCTCTCACCTGTGAAAATCATGCCCAGATCTGAGCTGCTCACTTCAATGCCCTTCTGCTGCAGGTGGGCTGTGTCCACCTCCAGGCTCTCCTGCTCCTGGTTCAGTTCCTCTCCCTCCACCGTGACTTCACAGGTATCCAGGTCATGCACGATCTCCTCAGACACCAGTGACTCTTGAACTGCAAAAATGGCCCACCCAGAAATAGCAGAGGCCATGGTGCCCAGGGAGGCGAGTCACCCTTGATGGCCTGCCAGCTCATCCTTAAACTCATAGAGCCCTTTGAAGGACCAATGACAGAGGTACTGGAGAGTCACTTTCAAGAACTGGGGGTACTTTATGAGTCTAGGAGGACTGGCCACTGGGAAGGCCCAAGAATGGGGGGACCCTGTCCTCAGTGGCCTGACCAGCCAGCAAGAGCACATCCCCAGATGCAGGAGAGCAACAGCATCTCCTATAACAGCCCCAATCCTCCCAACCTCCTCAAGGTGCGTCTCAGATTCTGACATCATGCCAGAAAAAGATGAAAGGCCCCTCCCAGTGGGTTTCCAAAGATCATCTAGCCCAAGGGTCAGATTCCAGAAGCAGACCCAATAACAGCATTAAAACATTAAAATCACCCAAAATCCCAGAGAAAAAGGGCCCGGTGAGTAGGCAGCAGCAGTAGGGTTTCAGCTGCCCAGTGTCGAGCCAAGGGGAGGGTGACTGCCCCAGGGAGAGGGGCTGTTACCTGTGGGGTCCTCATCCCCCTCCCCTTCAGGCTCCACTTCTCTCGTGATGGTGCTGATGATCCGAAGCTCAGGGAAAAGGAAAACGCCCTCCGAGCTTTCAAATTCAGAAGCCGCTCGAGCAAAATGGTGGACGCCACTCAGGCTGATCTTGGGCTCTTCCGGCTGTAAAACCATCACGTAGCCATCTACCGGAGGAACTGAAATGCAGGCGGCCTCGTTAAAACACCTGCCAACAAGAAATGGAGAAGGGAAGGGAAGGGTCAGGGCTTGAAGAAGCTGTTCAGAAGCCACACAGCCAGAGGCGTGAGCAGGTGGACCACACAGGATTCCACAAATACGGAGGATGGCAGCCACTCCCGAACGTGCTCCTGAACATTATGAATAAACATCACTCGGATCTCTCAGTCAAGCTTTCTAGTAACAAGCGATGGCTTGCCCTTCCTTACAGAAGGGAGGCTGCGTGGTCTTAAAAACCTAAATACACACATTTTCTTCTCAAGGGTCACTGAGCAAAGACAGGTTTATGGTTAACAACGAGCACATACTTGACCGTGCTGGTGATTCTGAGTCTCCGGATCCCGGGTGTGGGAAACTGCCGGGAGTTCAGGTAGGAGATGTGCTGCATGGCCTTATCCAACTCCCCAACGTCCTCTCCCTCCAAGGTCAGCACTGACTGGCTGGGGTTGGCTTGGATCTGAAATCGTTCCAAACAGAGAGAGGAGAGGAACAAGGCTGTAACTGTAAGAAGCTGAAGCCACGAACGCTTTGGCAAAGAGGACTGATTAGCTGGGGATAGATCTGAATTTGTGACTTGGAGAAGAAAAGCTCAGGTAATTCCAGTGACCAAGAGCCTCTCATATGATGGTAAATATCTAAGGCGCAGACAGATCTGTGGTGTAAAATATACATGTGGTCTTTGTCCCCAGTTTCTGGCACAGAACGTCTAAAACCCTTGGAATTTCCTGAGTGATAGGAGCATCTTTTATTATTCATAACAAGCCCCTTCCAGCCACACCAGAGCTTATGTTAATAAGCTGACTCCTAGAGGGGCCCTAGATAGTTTTAGGATGGGGGCGGCTGCCAGAGGAACAAACCATGTGATTAGGGGGTTGCAACTTTCAGCCCTACCCCCAACCTCTAGGGAGGGCAGAGGGGCTGGAGACTGAGTTAATCACCATTGGCCAATGATTTAATCAATCATGCCGGCGTACTGGAGCCTCAATAAAAACCCCTAAACGACAGGGCTTAGGAGCTTCTAGTTGGTGAACACATCGAGGTGCTGGATGGGTGGAGTTCCTGGAGAGGGTGCGGAAGCTCCATGCCCCCTCCCCACATCCTTCACCTCCGCATCTCTACCGTTTGGTTGTTACTGAGTTGTATCCTTTATAATCAACTGGTAATAGTAAGTAAAGCATTTTCTAAGCAGTTCTAGCAAATTATTGAACCTGAAAACGGGCTGGAGCTGTGGGAACCCCCAACTTGGTAGCCAAGTCAGACAGAAGTGTGGGTAAGCCAAGGGCCCGATACTTGCAACTGGCATCTGAAGTGGGGGCAGTCCTGTGGGACTGAGCCCTTAACCTGTGAGGTCTGATGCGACCTCAAGGGAGTTAGTGTCTGAACTGCATTGAATTCTGGAACACCTGGAGAGTTGGTGTCCAGAGAGTTGAGGAACTGGCTGGTGTGAGGAAAAAAAAAAAAACCCCACACATTTGGTTAGAGGTGTTATGAGTAAAAACAGCTCAGGATGGGGCTGGCCCCACGGCTTAGCAGTTAAGCGCTCGCGCTCCGTTGCTGGCGGCCCGGGTTCGGATCCTGGGCGCACACCGACACATCGCTTCTCCGGCTATGCTGAGGCCGCGTCCCACATACAGCAACTAGAAGGATGTGCAACTGTGACATACAACTATCTACTGGGGCTTTGGGGAGAAAAAGGAGGAGGACTGGCAATAGATGTTAGCTCAGGGCCAGTCTTCCTCAGCAAAAAGAGGAGGATTGGCACGGATGTTAGCTCAGGGCTGATCTTCCTCACAAAAAAAAAAAAAAACAGCTCAGGATCAATCACAGATCAAACCTTACGCCAAAAGCCTCCACACTTGGGGTCTAGAAGTCGTGAAGACTAGGCAGATGAGTGCTGTGCAGGTGGATGCCATGCAGGTGGGTGCCAGTGTTACCTTCACGCCTCTGCCACTGTCTTCGGGGACTTGCAGGTCTAATCCCTCTTTGCAGGTATACAGACAGTCAATCACCTTCTTATCCTCGAGTTTCCCGGAACGGATCGTCAGGCCAGCCAGATTACCTCGGAAAAACTGGGTCATGTGCAGGTCACCACCTTCAGAACACGGGGGAGAAAGCAGGCAGTTATGCGTGCAGCCCAGGGCCTCCTGCTTCACTTCTCAACCCAGTGTTACTGGTGGTGGCAACTTGATGGATGGACATGCAGGTTAGTTCATACCAAATCCTGTTAGCCTTGCAATCTACATGGAAATGCAATGAAGAAATTAAATCGTTTATGATCATGCACATGGCCTGAAGAAAAGAGGAGTTGGTGGTTCCTCACCCAAAGCCTGGAAGCCAAGAGGTCCCTGAGTGTCCCCACACATCTGGCCACTCCCTAGTAAGGGTGGCCCACACTGCTCCCGTCACCATGGTGCACAGTGACATTTCCCACCAGTGTCAGCCTCTTCAACCACTGCTTCCCCATCAGCTGGATCATGCTCTGGACTGCTTTTCCTAACTGAGCATACTCGGGGAATACACGCACGCTTGGGGGTGAACCCAGACCAACATGACTAGGAAGATAAAAGGGATGCTCAAAACCCCACTGGCACTTGAAAGTGTCAAGGCCTTTCCGATGGCTATTCTGTTAAATCCCATCTTGCGTGTCTCCTCCTACTGAGAACTGGGAAGTGAAGATGTTAGAAGGGAAATAAAAACCCAGAAAACGGCCCTTGACAGATCTAACAAGAGCCAAAACCAGGTGAAACTAAACCTTGTTCCTACACTGATGAAGGAGAAGAGACCGATTTTCAGCAGCATGTCTCATTCCTGATAAGGACATCAGACACTGTAAATCATCGCTAAGGATCGAGATTTCTAAGAAACATATATTTACAGTTGAATATCAGTCAGGACAGAATATCTAGAAATGAGTCTTTTCCTGTCTCGTGGTTCAGCCACATGAGAACCAGGAGGTGGCCTCCCAAACCAGGCCTGTGAGATTTCAGCAGGGAGCCTCATGCAGTGGGATCGGGGTAAAATTCGATGAGGGGAGAAAAAAAAAATCCCATTAGTGCACTGTATTAATGAGTCATTTGCCCTCACTTCAACTGGGATCAGAATGGGCAGAGAAGGGAAATCCCATGAAGCACTGGGGGGACCAAAATGCAAAGCAGCAGCTCAGACGGTGTCAGGGACCAAATGCAACCGGGCATTTCATGCGGGATGTGGAATGAACCAGTGTGTCGTCTTGAATGAAACACAGTAGTGAGCCGTAGGGGAAAAATCCAGCGACCTGCAGAGGCCATAGGCACAGGCTCAGTTTCATTGTCATTTTCAACTCCTGAATACTCTGTAGGAAAGCAAGACAAAGACAATAGAAAAGGACCAAGAGGTTAGGCTCTTCCAATTGGACCTTGAAAATCAGCTTTGAAAAGCTCCCAAATACAAAACAAAGACAGGAAAACTCCTCTCTTGTCCCTCCTGGGGACATGCTCCACCCAGACGCAAGCTTGGACTTGATCACCTTTTCCCAGAAGCGATATTTACCACCCACACGCGTCTGTCTTTTTTTATTCCATCTTCCCACATCCTCCTCGCCAAAACACAGGTCGGATTCAAAATAAGATAGATAAAAGCATGTACACTGAATTCACTGGTCTCCTAACCTGTGCTGCTAGGGAGGACGCTCCCAGGAGGCAGCTCACACTGATGGCAGAGATGCGCCAGTAGATAATACTGAACCCTGGACCTACAGCACCTTTCCTCCTAATGGGGAAGACAGCTGTGCAGACAAAACGAGGTGGCGCATGTGAGCATCCAAAGCCTGGTGTATGGTAAACATCTACCAAAAGTAGGTATTTTTTGAAAGCTCAAAACAAGTTCACACTGGTTTAGACTTGAACGTATAAATGACAGAGAAAAGAAGGCATTTTAACCACTTTTTATGAGCAGGAAGGGAGAGTCAGACGTTAAGGAACTCACCCAGACAAAGAGATAATCAATTGACAGCGGGCCTAGAGACTGTAACCATTGATAGCTCCTCCGGGTCCCAATCCACTGCTCTGAGCATAACTGCTCTGAGCATAACCCCAGACGGGAGCAGCACACACCCAAGGGACTGAGGATAGAATTCCCATTTTCCAGATCATGTGGTAGGAGCTCTGCTCCTCTCATCCCCCAGGCACAGCCCCCTGCACCTTCTGTGCTGCAGCAGCGAGGGGACGCGCTGGGACGAGCCCAGGAGCACACACAGCTGCTCCGACTCCTCCATAACACACTGTGAGAAATGACGCTTCTGTCGATGACGTGAGGCTCCTGCCTACGGCCCAGGCTCTCCACGGCGAGAGCCTGGGCCGAGAGTAAGGAAAGTGATTTCACATCCACCGAAAGGAAGAAAGGGGATCTTCCCCCTGTTAACTAAATTTTTAAAAATTTGTGTTTGGTTTGGGAACTCAGGCAGATTTTTCTGGCTGAGGATGTTGAGAGGGCTGAGGCAAAAAGAGATGAAAGAAGGTAAAAAGTGATTGCCATCTGACAGTGGAGGTACTGTGACATGATCAGGACCAAGGACATAGCGGTTTATTTTAACCCAAGGGAAGCTCCCACAATATAAAATAACATTTAGGCTTGCACTCGTATTTTTATGCTTATTTTTAAAATAATTACTCAGCAACTGTTGTTTAATTTGGGAAGCAAATTTGAACTGAAATTTTAAGAGCAAAAAAAATCTCTATACCCCTAATAATTTTATCCTCATTCCTTGGTCTCATGTTCCACTTTCCCATGGATGAATTGTCACCAAAATTAAATTGGAATTTGCTGGAGAGGTTCACTCTAAAACACTCTCAGTCCTTTTCATTTAAAAGGATCTGCAGGAAAACTACGAAATTTAAATTCTCCTAAAAGAAGCAAAGTTATCTTGGGAATTAGGCTCTTTCGTAAATTTCTAACCTAACTGGAGGTACAATGTTTCCACAGGGAGGAGGAAAAAAGGTCTATTTCGCAGGTACACATAGTGACAGTGACACCTTGAAGTGACACAACACAGAGTCAAGTGCAAGGGTTACAGTGACACCCGTGAACCTTGAGAGCAGACTGAGGGGTCTGTGAACTGGGATGGGAAAAATTACATGCTTACTTTCATTAACTTCTGAAATTTAGCTTTTCCTTTGGTTATAAATGTCACCTAACAAACCACACTCGGATCAGCAGAAACTGCAACTTTGTCCCCAGTAGAAATCCCTGATATTTTCCTATCATGCCACATTGCTGCAGATACCATGAGCATCGTCACAAAGCGCCTCACTACTCTGAAATCACGGCAGTTATTGGACCTGCTGCTAAAGCTTGTCCATTTGTAACAAAGTAGCACAGCTGTTACTATTTCACAAACTGTATTTTAGAACTTGGATAACTGTATTTCAATTTAACTGGTTACCTTTGAAAGTATTTTATTTTATAGATTAATAAGTACCTTACTTTATAGATTAATAAGAAATTATCCTGAGAAGGGGCCCATAGGCTTTACCAGAACACCAAAGGGCTCCATGGCACAGAAGAGGCTAAAAACTCCTGGTCTGGTGGGTCAGAGTTCGGCTGAGTGTACCAGCTTCAGGGGTTCCAATCCTAGCACCACGAGTAATGGGCTGGGTGACCCTGGGCTTGCTACTTCTCTGAGCCTCAGTTTCTTCAGCTATAAAATGGGGAGAAAAATAGCTTCCACCTCATAGACTTATTATAAGGATTAATGAGATAACATATGTAAAGTCATCAGCACACAGCCTGCCACTCAGCACAAATAAACAGTATTGTCCCTCTCGTGTGGTCACCACAGCCCATCCCTGGCCTTTTGGCAGAGATGTCACAGAATCCTCTCCAAATGCAGCACTTGCTGAAGGCGCTCCCACAAGATTATCAATCCCTTACGATCTGGAAGAGCCCTCTGGGCTGAAGCACGCTTACATTTCTGTGCCTAATTGTTGCTTCTTTGTTTTCGTAAACTTTCCAACGAACACATTAACTTATAAAATAGCTCCTCAGTGACGCTCTCCCCCTGTGCAACACTCCCGCATTCCCAGGAAAGGTGTTGGTGTGTTTCAGTCCTTTAACACAACTTTAGTGAGCGCCACAAGTCAAGCTGCCCTAGAACCTGGCGTCAGCAGTGTCCCCAAAACGGGCTATGCCCAGGAAAAGGAATGGAAAAGATAAAGGAAATGAGGGTGAGACGCTGAGAAGAGCCTGTTTCCACCAAGAGAGCAGAGAGGCGTTATCTCACTCCTGAGACTCCAGGGGGACAGGGGTGCCCACGACCGTTACCTTGCCAGCAAGCCCCAACCACGAGCTGAGTTTCGATCTTGGATGGATGAAGCGGGTAATCTTCAGTCACTGAGAATGGCTCATGAGGAACGCCGTCCACGTAGAGAGTCACACTCGGGATTTCCACGTTGAGGACGTAGTGGTGCCAGTCCTCATCGCAGACCTGAGAGGCCAAGGGAAGGGTCAGAGTGTGCAATGTCCACCCTCCTTCTCATCCAAACACACCACAATGAGAGCAAGACAACTGGACACAGAGAACGAGTCACCCATAATGAATATCTGTCTTCCTAAAAAGGAAAAGATTAAAAAAAATCTAACAACAAAATACATTTCACCCAACCACATCTCGCCCAAAAAAGCTGAGGCAACAGCACCATCTCTGGGACATTTCAGACCAGGGGCACGCTCTCATATGACAGGCCCTCAAACAAGGAACTGCCCAATTCTCTTCTGCCACGAGAGTGACACCAGGAAACTCTTCTATCGGCAGGACATAAAGACGACAGTGGAGCATGTTAAATGACACTACAGGGATGCAATCAGCCAAATCTTAACTATAAGAAACCCTGTAGGACAAAAACCCTGATTTCATCCCCAAATAAATTGCGAGAGAAGAGAAAAATCTATAGATTAAAAATAAACTCAAATAGGGGCTGGCCCGGTGGCGCAAGCGGTTAAGTGCGCGTGCTGTGCTGCGGCGGCCCAGGGTTCGCTGGTTTGGATCCCGGGCGCAAACCGACGCACAGCTTGGCAAGCCATGCTATAGTGGCGTCCCATATAAAGTGGAGGAAGATGGGCATGGATGTTAGCCAAGGGCCAGTCTTCCTCAACAAAAAAAAAACAAAAAAAAAGAGGAGGATTCGCAGATGTTAGCTCAGGGCCCATCTTCCTCAAACACACACACACACACACACACACACAAATATATATATATATATATATATATATATATATATATATAAATAAACTCAAACGGTATACTGACCAATCATAATGTATGGCCCCTTATTTGGATCCTGATTCAAACAAACAAATGGTAACCATAAAAACATTTATAAGACAATTTGAACACTGTCTAGACATCTGATGATATTAAATAATTGTTCATTTTTTTAAGATGTGAAAAAGTATTGTGATAGGCTTATCTTTTAGAGATACAGATCTCATTATCTCCACAAAGAATGAAATGCTATATGTGGGATTTGCTTTAAATCTGTTAAGTAGTTCTCGAGGGGGTAACAAATTATTAATGAGTGGGAGTAACAATGAAACGAAACTGACTAGAGTTGATCACTGTTGAAGCCAGGTGAAGGGTACAAGGGGTTGGTCTTTATGCTAATCTGTCTACTTTTACATATGTCTGAAATTTCCCAGAATAAAGCTTTAAAAAATGTAATCAGAACAAACTAAATAGGGGGCCGGCCCTGTGGCTTAGCGGTTAAGTGCGCGTGCTCCGCTGCTGGCGGCCCAGGTTCAGATCCCGGGCGCACACCAACACACTGCTTATCAGGCCATGCTGTGGCGGCGTCCCATATAAAGTGGAGGAAGATGGTCACGGATGTTAGCCCAGGGCCAGTCTTCCTCAGCAAAAAGAGGAGGATTGGCATGGATGTTAGCTCAGGGCTGATCTTCCTCATACACACACACACACACACACACACTAAATAAACAAATAAATAAATATTAAAAAAAAAAAACCTAAATCTACAAATACAGACTATGGTTACTATAACAGAACTGTAAGTAAAATGTCTACCTACGTTGCAAAAAGTTTTTGCTCAACTACATCTTTCTTTAGTTTCTTGAAAAAAAGTATAACAAAAGTTTCTGAGAAGGAAATGAACTATGTGAATAAAAATTACATCAGAAAGAGATGAATGCTACCAACTGGACAGTCACTTCGTCTTCTACTGTTACATACTTTTTTCCTTTCTCATTTAAGCTCTTACATAGTTATCTATCTTGTAACTGTTTTAGACAATGTTATATTTTAGTAACTACAGGCACATATAACAATGTCAGCTCTGCCCACTAACTCCATGAGACAAAGAGAATTAAGTCAGTCCGAAGGTTTCCTTCTTGTGCCAACCCTAAATCAAGAGAAGAAATGATCTGCTGTAATTTTAATGAAAAGGCTTTCTCAGTTTACGGCATCGCTCATTTCCTATAACACTCACAGGACACCTGCTTTTTATCACAGAAATTTTTGGGAAAGCAGCTTTGCGAAGACATGGCATCGTCAAAAGGAATAAGATACGATCTAATGTGGAAACTGTAAACTCCCTCAAGCTCGTAGTTCACGTGGTATCTGAAAGATGCCAAGACTGCTGGTTCCTTGAAAATTTTAAATATCCTGTGGCACCCTTGAATTTGCTGAGGCACCCTGGGACTCCTTGGCACAATTTGGGAGCCAAGGCCTTAAATAATGAATAAACAAATATAAGGATCTCAGTCCCAATTTTTAAGCAAATGCCAATTATTTCAACAAATGATAACACAGCATTTTGAATATAAAACATACAATTTCTTTATATTAATATTTTATGTATAAAAATATATACATGTTAAAAAAAAACCCTTACGCTTTCAGTGGAAAGGAGTTCAATGGATTTAATTTGCTACCCTATTACCCACATAAAATCATAAATACATACTGCCCATAAGCAGCTCTTCCTGTGCAAGGCTGCAGCTCCTGGTTCATCTCTCTGAAAAGATCATAATCAGTGAGCTTGCCATTCACTCACCTGATTCAACTTCCAGTGGAATTCTGCAGGCTTGTATTTCTTCTCTTCTGAAGGATCCTGACGGAGGAGGAAAATAAGCCGGCAGCCATGGACGTAGAGTGAGTAATGGTGCCGGTTCATATCTGCAAAGAGAAATTCTACTGGTGAACTGCCAACTTAAGACCCAAAGGAGAAATAAAGGCTATTCCTTTAACGAATTTTAAAGACACAGTTTTATCAGCATAAATGAACTCTCCAGTTGGGCCAAGGCAGGGTTTATAGAAACAAATACACTTGGGTTTTACTGAGAAGTGTGGCCCAACCCACTGAGTAAAACTAACCAATGCCCAAGGACCAGGGCGGTATCTCCAGGACAGAGCGTCCCTGGCACAAAACACAGAACAATGAATGTAAACCAACCAGCCGATGGGAGCCTTTGGGGAAGAGAAAGGTGCCCCAGCCTCCAGGGACTACTGCAGTGGACACTGAAGGGCGACACCCTTCACCTACCTGTCTTGTCTGAACTGCAAAGAATCGTCTCCTTCTTCCTGCCGAAAGGCCCATGCCTCATCCACACGGAAACCGTAAACGGCTCTTTCGGGTTGACAGATGCAACGCCGTCTGGGATCCTCACCGCCTGAGTGCCATTGAACTCGAAGACCTGGTCACTGTCGTGGCCGTTGTCCGTGGGGAGGCCGACGGTCCAGTTCAAGGAGCCGCTTGGGGAAGGGAGCAGCTCGGCAGTGCCAGACATGGCACCTTAAACAACACAGTAACACTTACCACACATTATGTGAAGAGCTTAAAAGGTATGAGTGTTTCAAAACCACACTAATGTACTGTCCTTATCTTATGGTTATACAATTTGCTAGTTCCAGTTTTTCTAAAAAATAAGGGTTTTTATTACAAAAATATTCATAAATAATAACCATGGATATTAAAAAAAAGAAAGCATTACCTGTAAACCTGCCCAAATATATCCACTATTAACATTTGCATATAAACACCTCCAGTCCTCTTTATGAATATATACATATTATAAAAATGGAGCCCTGCTCTGTACACACATACATATATTCTCATTCATATTCTTCTATAGCTTAACTTAAAATCTCTGAATAGCATTTCATTGCACAGATGTACCGTAATTTATTTAACTGATCTCCCTGGTGGACGCTGAGATCCTCCCCAATTTTTTTCTATGCTAAACCTTGCCTTGATGAGAACCGTTATGTGTGTGTCCATGATTATTCCCTTAGGGTAACTTCCTAGAAATGGAATTACTAAGCCAAAGAACATGGAAACTTTTTACAACTGTTGTTATGTATCGCCAAGTTCAACTTCCTTTAAATTTGTCCACAGAAGATTTCGCAAGCTCTCCCAGCCACTTGGTCCTTGACTTCTCTATTCCTATCCTAGGAGCAGCATGACTTGGCTGGAACAGCCTGATCTTTTGAGTAACATACGACCTCAGTCCAAATCCCAGCTCTGCCACTTCCTGCAAGTGTGACCCTGGGCACGTGACTTAGATTTCCTCAGCCTCAATTAATTCCGCTAGAAAAACGAGGTCAATACCACCTCCTCTGTAGGCCTGATGGGAAGATTAAATGAAATAACACAGGTGGAAGTACCTAGCATACAGTAAGCACTCAAATATGGGATTCTTTCCATTCTTTCCAGCTTTAAACAGTTCTGCTGAGAAAACGTTCATTTAATACCATCAAAAATGGCATTATGAGAGAGAATATAAGTTTTATACATTATACTTATATACAAAGTTTAAAATACAAAATGTTCCAGACCTCTTAACTTACATGGTTATGACTATTTGGACTCAGACTCATAAAACACCCTAGTATCTTCATCACTGGCTGACCCAGCAGAGAATATACTTTTTCCCTTTTGCTTCTTCATATATAAATTTCCACTTAGGTAGGAGAACTGGCTGCCTGCATCTAACTGCTGTTATCAGGGTAGTGAAAAGACAGATGAGGATGGAAAACGCTCCCTACAAAGCCATTACTAAGCAGCTCTTGAAACACAAAAGACCCTTCTGATATGAAGGGCCCATTGAAGTTACTGGTATTTTATCACTGGCCAAGTAAAACATTCTTAGCATTTTCCACGAGAGGCATCCATACCTCACCTTTACTTCATTTAGATAAACAAGAGAAATATCCACCACTGACGGTGAAGACAGGGAGCTGGGCTTTTGGACAGATTCGCAGCTGTCCCTCGACTTCGCCACACAACGTTTGTGGTATATAAAGTCTGTGGAGACTATACATTACATGTGAGTATCCTTAGTTTGGGTTTCTACTTCACATTTGCCAAAAGCTACTGCATTAACTATATTTTTCCCTTCCGTCCTTAAAGAAACATCTCATTTGATTTAAAACTCACTCTACTTACATAATCCCTATTTGGATGATTCTCTATGTTAGAGAAATACTTTACATCAGTGGTTCTTAAAATGCACAAACACAACATTTTGAACAGACTTTCTGTACCCCTTGAAGTCTATCCAGTATGAAAATTAGCCAGTAAGGCGGCAACAGCCATTTCAGAGAGCTCGAGTCTCTGTTTTAGTTTATGTTATGACCATGTTTAGTTTAGTTATGATGTAGTTATGATCATGAACACCCACACACACATACTCCCATTTGTAAGGGTCTCTCGCCTTCACTGAAGACCACCAGGCCTCCTTACCGCAGAGCCGGTGAAGGGACTTCTCAGAGTAAGTGTCGCGGTCACAGCCTTTGCCTATGTGGCCGGTCTCCAGCTCCACCGTCGCCCGCACCGAGGCCACCGATTCATCACACGTTTCCAGGTGGATGTTTGGGAAGAGGGCCAAAGCTCCCGTGCCAGGCTCATACTCAATCCTGTTGTTCCATCCTGCATTGCCCACAACCCGGGGTGGGAGGAAAGGAGGAAACTCACACTGTAGGTTTCTGTGGTATAGATATTAAGAACAGGTGCGAGAGCAGAAAGGTGAATGAAGCTCACCTTGCCACCCAGGGGTGCAGGTGGGTTTAATGCTGATCTTTACCAGAACATCTTCTGTCGCTCTTTTCTTCCCGCAATCGTAGGCCGTGACTGTCAGCTTATACTGATGTTCCTTCCCATAGTTCAGCTTCTCTGTGTTTTTTATGTAACCTTCCAGAGGAAGATAGTAACAATGAGAACCCAAACCCACACTCTTTTTGGCTTCTGCTGTCCTGTGCTCAAACACTAATCATGTGCTTCCAGCCCTGCAATACTGATGGGGAAATAAATTCACGCCTGAAATAATTAACACTCTGTCTGGCGTTCCTGAGCCTGAACACACACTAAATCCATCTTCAAGGATTGTTTAAGCAGAAAGAATGAGTCCACACAATTCAACCTCCATTTATTCTTATAAATCTCTTTTGTTTTATATTTACTTTAAGATTTAATAGTTAACATATAAGAGAATAAAAAAGACAATAATTCAAGTACTTCAAATATTAAATGCAATATGAAGCTGCATTAAATGCTTCTTGCTACAAGATTTACTTTGTTAGAGAAAGAGAGAAATTTCCTACCTCCACCCACTAGAACAGAAGCTTGCTTTTTTAAACATGAATGTCTGCAAAGTGTTTGCAATGTCCATAATTTCATCACAGATTCTGGACTGTGTGTTAACAACAGAGACATCCTATCATCATGGAGAAGCCATAACCTAATAAAGAAGCTGAGCTCTAGAATAAGTTGATTCTGTTCAATTACTAAGGATGGAGGAGGGTCTGACAGTAAGGTAAAAACCTTCATCTTCAAGATGAGGCAGAAGATTCACATCTAATGGAGAACAGAAACGAGACTAACTAAAGGTCAGTCTTATTCAGAAGCATGCTGAGTGAAAGGTAAGAAGATAAAAAATAAAAACATGCTAAGTGGGGAACTTTTATGTGACTTTTGTGGGAAAGGAAAAAGAGGAGGGCCCCAAAAGAGCACACAAGAATTTCAGGTGCCAGAAAGGAGGCTTTCAGGGGATACAGTAAAAATGAAAACATGAAACAGACACCCCATGTTAGGTCTCTGCTGTAGACTGAATGTCTGTGTCCCCCACAATTCTTATGTTGAAGTCCTAACCCTCAATGTGATGATATTAGGAGGTGGGGCCTTTGGGAAGAACTTAGGTTGAGGAGAGGTCTTGAGGGTGGAGCCCCAATATTGGGATCAGTGTCCTTATAAGAAGAGGAAGAGACCAGAATGCTCTCTCTCTCCCCACCATGTGAGGACACAGCGAGAAGATGGCCACCTATGACGTAGGAAGTGGGTCCTCATCAGACATTGAAACAGCCAGCACCTTCATCTTGGACTTCCCAGCCTCCAGCACTGGGAGAAATAAATGTCTGTTGTCTAAGCCAGTTTAGGGCATTTTGTTATAGCCGCCTGAATGGACTAACTCTCCAACCTGTGAGTTTCACTGAAGTGCAGACCAAGTGTGGACTTGAAGCCAACCCTTAGAAGGGACTGCCTGCCCACAGACGGTGGCCCTTGGCGAGGAAAGCACGCTCCTCTGTTCTCACCGTCTTTGTCGACAGCGAACGGCACGTCTGGAGTGACGATTTCGTAGCTGCAAATCTGGCTGAACTGAGGGGAGCAGTCCGCGTCCACGGCCTCCACTCTCAGAATGCTGTCATACTGCCTCCCCTCCACGACGGTCGCTTTATAGGACTTCTCCTTGAACACGGGCGCGTATTCGTTCACGTCGTTCACCTGAATGTGGACAGTTGCTCTGGAAGAAGAAAAAGCTGTGTGTGTGGTTCGTTTTTTACCCAGAGAATAAAATTCTGCCCTATTTTTAAGTTTCCTTTTTCTGATATCTTGTTTTATTAAATTCTTAGGATGGAGATAAAAAAAACTATTTGCTGTTTTTAATTCAGCGTGGAGACAACAGGAAGTTAAAATAGGAATTTAGGTTGATTCTTCCAGGTCCTAGGAATAAGGCAGCTGATTAAAAAAAGCAGTAATATAAAATAAAAGAGACGGGATTTTCTTTGACAATACGGGACAGGGCGTGGAGAAGGGCGATAAACTAGATCACATATCTGTTTGCTCTCTAATCAAAAAGTAAAAAATATTTTGTTGCAAAATCCAGAAAAAATTAGAGCCAGAGGAAGAAGGGGTAAGAAATAGAAATAGCAGGGAAGGTTTGCTTATGAGCATTAAAACGAGTTCCGTCCTGCTCCTAAGGAATAGAGACCATTAGTAACACTGCTGGAATAGCACGCATTGTTGACCCAACAAATCAAGGACCTCAGTGCTGCCCTTCCTGGCAACCCCTCGCTGCCATGTTCCATCTCCCCAGCTCCGGTATGACAAAACGAAGGCATCATCAGCTCAGGCTACACAGAGAGAAAACTGCAGGTCTCAAGGGGTATCGATCAGGGAGGGCACATTTCCGAATTAGACAAGGTCTCTGATTGAAATAAGGTCTTTTTCAAGGAAAACAGTAATATCACACTGTGGAAAAAGGAAGAGGAGTGATTCACTGCGGCTCAGCACCCCTGCTGTTCACCACGCCCTCCACACTCCAACACCATCCGTCCATCCCGACCCTCACAATGGGCTATGTAACATCATTTCACCCACGCACCCCTTTCCTCAGTTGATGTACTAAGTGGAAACTGAGACTCAACAAAATTAAATTTGCCTAATGTAGAGGGGCTAGTAAGTGGTGGAGAAAAGACTAGAATTCTAAATTTCTGTCTTGTCCCAAGTCTTCTCCATTACACTAGGAGTTCTCAACTGGCAGGAACTATGTGAACACACCCTGGATGGGGTGCCAAAGTCAGCTTTCTTTCAGCAGCACGAATGAAGCTGACGCCCATAGAATTTACAGAAAAAAGATAATAAAATTTCTTCCTCCGGGAAAAGTGGGTTTTTCGACTTTTAAAGGTAGGCCTTAGTTTCTTTAATAGAGTATTTGGTGGGATAAAATTACTCATTTATTCATTTATCCAACACCTAATACGTGCCAGGCTCTTGCTGGGGGCCATGTACAAGGGTCTCTGATCACAGAGCCTACAATTACACTGTGGACAATCGAGAACTACCTTCTGCCTCATATTTCAAAAACACACGAAGTCTTGGGGACGGGGCAACGGTCAAGACTCTTTTGTTTAGACGCACACACTCTTTGTCCGGCCTACTTACTTATGAGACTTTTTCACGTTGGCACCGTCGGGTCCCTTGCCACAGTCATAGGCCTGGATGGTGAAGGTGTAGTCTTTCTGCAGTTCACAGTCCAGCTTCTCTTTTGAGCGAATTATTCCCTCGCCAGTGGATTTATCCACTACCACTGCATCAAAGGGGACATTCTGCCCATGAATTTTAAATCCACAAATCTCACCTGGGGAGTCAAAGCAGCGCAGGTTAGAATCTTTGCCACATAAACCTTGGGCACATTCCCCTCCACCCACAAAGAAAATAAATGACAACAATTCTGCAGCCAGGGGTTTAGAGGGTCTGTGGACAAGGCAAGGGCGCTGTGCTTTAACAGGGATAAGTTCTGGGGCTTTAGTAAAAAGAAGCATGTTCTGGCTTTCCAAGCAACTCGTTTAACTTTGCATCCACTCATGCAGGAATACAAAAGAGAGAAAGAGAAAATATAGACAGGCATTTCACAGGAGTACTTAAGACAGCTCCAGGGTAAAGTAGTCTCATTAGCAAACAGCCAAGGCCTGATAACACGGAGAGACCGGCCCAGCTACGGGGATAGCCGGCGGGGATTTGGATTTGGACCAGAGAGAAGGCTAAAAAGCACAGTTAAGTGTTGAGAGAGGAAGAAGCGTGAGATATAGGTTCAGCACCATAATTACAGAAATTCTGTCAAAAAAAAAAAAATCAAAAGAAACAAGTCTTCCTGTGCAATGAGCCTGGCTAAAATTAGGGAATCAAAATAAAATACTGAATGAGAAAGGTAGAAATACCAACTTTTCAGGCATCCATTTCAACAGCTATCATCTACTATTAAGAATACTGCAGGGAGGGATGTGCTAGACTTTCCTCTGTTTCGTATTTTATCCTAACAGACCTGAAAAAGAAGCCTGCCTGGGAACTTAAGTACATCTAAGTTGGCTTACAAGCTTAATTAGGACTTTAACTCTAGGTTTCCATTCCTGCCCACAGGAGAACAAATATAAATGTTTTGCTGTCTATAGAAAACTTCACAAAATGTATTTCACATAAAAATAAGACTAAACTCTTCCAAAATTACAACTAATAGAAAATACGAAGTGAATCTGTTAAGTTCAATTAAAAAAAAAAAAGTACAGTATTACCCATATAGTTCAAATGGATGTCTGATTTCCAGATATTTCTAACCAAGGGTTCAGTTCCATACAATTTCCATCAATATATTTAAAAATAGAAATAAAGTAGGAGAATAAATAGGGATAAAAGAGCATGACAGTTTCTTCTGTTTAAGGGCTGATTCCCAATTTTATAAACAAAGTTAGTGGGTTAATATTCATAAGAGGGATAGAAAGAACCCTTTATCACCTTCTTTGGTGACTGTCACCTCAAAACTCTCTAAAGGGAGAAAAGATAAACCCATGTCAGTCATACAGGAAAGAACGAAGATGGAACAACAAGGAAAAAAAGTCAAAGATGCACATTACACAGAGAAGCTTGACATATTAACAATACGCTCAGTAGCCACTTCCGGCAGCGAAACTGGATCTTGAGTAACAATGTATCTCTCTGAGTCCCACTTACCACAAAATTACACCCATCTACAGATGAGATGCTGCTATAAAGCTTCCTAACACTTCAGGTGCATTAGGACTTCTTTTAATGAACACTTTGACGATAACAGTTTAGAAGAAAACCTGTTATTTTATACTTCTCAGATTTTCATTCAAGCTAAGTTCTCGTGCCTAGATTCTGGGAACACTCAACTCATCATTAGATTTGATGAAACACATTTGGAGCAAAGGGTTTTAACTCTTTGTTCTTGAGGTGAATAGATAATGTTTTCAAATCTAAAGTACCAACCAAGACAACAAATATAAACACCTCTTCTAATGAAACATCTGCTTAACTGTGAACTGAAATCAGAGTCAATACTAACTGTAGTGATGCTACAAGGATCACTGTTTTTATTTCGTGAAAACACCATTCTACCAAGACAATAAAATCCTGCTTCACCTCGCCCGACAACTACAGAGGAGGAGAAAGGTGAGGAGGTCGGAAGCCCCTCTCCCCACACTCAGTGTGGCCTCCCCAGGGCCCCTTCTCTCCCCCAAAGGTAACGCCACCTGAATTCCCTTGCTTTTTTTTAATAGTTTCACCATATATTTGCATATCCCTGAACAGCGTTGTTTCATTTTGCTTGTTTTTGAGGTTTGAAAAATGGTATCACACGGTACGATGTGATATTTTTCCTTCAACCTATGCATCTAAGATTCATTCATCCTCGCTGGCGTATGCAGCCATAGGTTATCCACTTTCACCACCACATAACAGCGAGAATCCAATGAGTTAAAACAAGCAAAGTGCTTAAAACACTGCCTGGCATAAACAAAGCACTCAACAAATGTTCGCTACTACTGTAATTATTTTCCATGTGTGAATACACCATAATTCCAGTTTTTCACTGTTTATGAACACGGCTTTAATGGATATTTCCATCCATCTTCCTGCTGCACATACACAGTCACTCTATATCTGTGTGGCCCGACACCGCAGCCACTAGCCACATGGGGCTGTTTAAAGTTAAATTAAAATTCATATTAAATTGAATATTAAAACCTCAGTTCCTTGGTCGCACTGGCCACATTTCCGGTGCTCGACAGCACACGTGACTGACAACTACTGAATGGAGGATGCAGAGAGAGAACATTTCCATCATCACAGCAAGTTCTACTGGACTGCGCTGTTCAAGAACTGAGGTGGGCCAATCCAGCCTGCGTACGTTTTTGAACAGCCTGCGTGCTAAAAATAGATTTTACCTTTTCAAATATTATTTCGTGACACAAGAAAACTACATGAAATTCAAATTTCACTGTCCATAAGTAATGTTTTACTGGAACACAGACACGCTCGCTTGTTATGTACTGTCTAGGGCTGCTTTCACACTGCAAAGGCAAAGCTGGGCATCACAAGAGAGACCCCATGGACCACAAAGCCTAAAATATTTACTATCCAGTCCTTTACAGAAAAAGTTTGCTGATCGCTGCTCTAGAGAGGCACCGATGAGCACCACTGCTAGGTACCAGATATGTCAAATTGTTTTCCAGAATGTGCTAATTGATATATATTGCTATATTATGTTTACTTTGTTGGTGTACATCAGTATTGCACAATACATTTTTAAATAAGTCAAGTTGTCCAGCTTTAATTCAGAGAAAATGTCGCAGTTTTCAACTCAAGAGTTTACTGTTCTAAAGAGAAAATGGTGAGGCAGCTCCACATTATCGGACTGACGTAACTGACAGCGACTGCGTGTACTCTCCTGACAAAGGCCACTGTGGGGGTTAAGTGCAGATTTAAGACCCTGGAATCAAGTATCTGACCTGGGCCATACCACCTGCGTGGTGCACTGTTGAATAGGGGTTAAAGACACTCATCATTCAAGCAATGCCCTTGAGATTGTTTCTGACCATGAGATTATCAGGAGGAGCAGGACTGTCTGATAATAGACATAAACTCCCTAAATCTTTCCCCTGACATATCAGGCTGGGAGGCGGAGGGAGAACCAGAGTATAGGAAGCATTGGGGTGTTTCAATTGTATATTTCAGGTGTTCGGAAAAGGCTTCATTGATAAGATAATGTCTGAGTAGAAACCAGAGGAAACTAAGGGAGCAAGCTACATGATTATCTGGGGAAGGATTTCAGACAGAGAGAACAGCAAGTGCAAAGGCTCTGAGGCAGACCTGGCCTGGCTCAGGAACAAGGAGGCCTATGTTGCTGGGGTGGCTGAGCAAAGGGGAGGACAGTAGTTGGTCAGACAAAGACAAGTAACGGGAAGCTACAGCAGCTACTACAAGAATTACAGCCCGTCCTCCAAGTGAGAAGGAAACGACTAGAGAGCTTTGAGCACAGAAATAAACAAATACAGCTTATATTTGGAAAGAATCCATCTGGCTGCTGTGCTGAAAATAAGTCTGTAAGAGGACAATGCTGGTTACCTGAGTAACGCAGGCACGAGATGCTGAAGGCCAGAACCAGGGGTACCTGGGGTGGTGAGAGGTGGTCAGATTCAGGGTGTGTTCTGACAGTAAGGACAAGACTGTGGGATTATGAGGGAGAAACTGCAAGGATGAAGTGGCCATCAGCCAACACGGGAAGACCATGGAAGGAACGGCTGGCAAGGAACGGGAATCCACACTTCAGCTTTGAACATGCATCTGTACCACGATTTAAGGAACAGCGTCTCGAAGGAATGATGATCAAATATAAGAATACAAATTATTTTGAAACTCATGTATTTCCAGGCTGCTCTCTAAAAGACTGGATCCATTCATAACGAGAACAGCAAAAATGTATACTTGTATCTTTTCCACATATCCCCACTGACTGTGAGTATGTAAGCTGGCTACTTGAACGGGCTGCACCAACAGGATTTGGTGCCTCAAATCCATGGGCACTTACTAGATTGCTGGGCAGGGTGGGTCCTTTTGCCTTGAATGACTTAAAACTCATCTCACAGGTGGCAGCCTGATGCAGCAGGAGCACCACGGACTTCACACCCCAGCAGGCCTGGGGACCTTTGTTGGTGTATATCAGTATTGCACAATACATAGTGCCAGCTGTGTGACCCTTCGTGCCACTGCTGAGCCTGCTGAGCCACCATCTGCAGACTGGGCAGCACACCCACTTCATGGGTCCACCTATTCATTCCATCCAGGACCCTGATTTTAATGAGGAAGATGGATCCGACTGGAACAAGGTGAGGGGCAAGAGAACAAGCCAAAACCACCAGAGTATCTCAGAAGAGATCTGATGAGGGCTCAGTGAAGGCAGTTTCAGTAGGAAACATGTGACGGATCTTTAGGAGGATAGATGGGACGTCACAATCCACTGGACGGAGAGAGTGAGGGAGTCTGCAGGAACGCCCTGGTCTTTGGCTGATGGTGCCATTTGGGGAACTGAGGCACAGAGACAGAGGAAAAGTCATGAGAAAGGCGATGTGTTCAGGCGCCTCTCATTTGTCCTGCCTACTTCTTGCTTGTTTGCTGGAGTTTTCTAAAGCCAGACATTATACCGCTTCATTCATACAAAATTCACTAGCTATCTCTAGCATGTTTTCTTTAACATCGCTAAAATAACATCACACAGCCAACAGAACTAACAGTTTAGATATTTTCACAGTAAGTATCCTAGTGCCTCTCAAATTACACTCAG